AGGTAGATGCATATGAGGAAAGGTAGAAGGAAAATTCAAAAATAAAAATAGTAATTGAGATTACATCTCAATCATACTGTGTTAGTTGTATGTGTATTTTTTTGTTAATGAACCAGGCTATATTAAGTCCTACTTAGGAAGCTAGACAATGCTTGCCTCATTTTGGAGCTGCCCTACAGATACTGATGTTAGGCCTTGTAAGGTTTGCAAACCCCTTGGTCTTCTTCCAAATAGATAACTAAAAGGCCCACCACCGATTTAAAGCTTTTATTTGTTATTTTAAGATTACGAGGATACATTCTTGATTACTGTATGTGATATGTATGAGTTTTGTTTTCTTTCTTTTTTCAAAAATTCTTGGAAATTCACTTCTCAATGAGGTTATATTAATACCCATACAGTATGTTTGGATAGAAAGATAAAGTAATGGTTCTTTTTATTTTTCTTTCACAGAAAAGAGCTGATCCTCTCTGGCACTTTAAATCCAATTAAGGATTTACATCTGGGAAAACTGGCCTTAACTAAGTTTCCAAAGAGTCCAGAAACATGGATTCACAGGTGTGGTTAATTTACGCCTTAGGATTCCTACGTAGGATTCAGAATGGCTGGAGAAAATACAGAGTGTGAAACCAGGTCACATACTGGTTCAGAGGATGAATTTTAAAGTCAAGTTATGTTTAAATCTTGGTGCCAGCACTTGCTACCTGTGTGATTTTTAGAAATTATTTAACCTCTTCAAGCCTCAGTTTTCTCTTTTGTAAAATGGGAATAATAATTACACCTATCTCAGAGTTAATAGCTGAGTTTATATGAGTAGTACATGTAAATACTACCACAGTGCCTGGCACACATTAAATACTCAATAAATTTTAACCATTATTATTAACATTCTTATGGAGTCATGGAAATTGCATTTAGATATTCAAATAGAAAGCTTACGTTTTTATAATTAATTCAGTTGTGTTCTTGGTAAAAATGGCGGTGGTGATGGTTGTGGTTATTAAAAATAAGCAAATAAGGAAAATAAGTGCAGCTGAAATGAATGGTATATGGGTAAGCAAAGGTTGCTAAGACCATAAATGCAAAGAATATTTTTAGGTTAAAGGCCTGAGGCATGTAGCCCAAGTGCACATAAGAACTCTTTTTACTATCCTGGCTGTCTGGAAACATCTTTCTTTTGAACTCCATGTAACCACTGTAATGACTAAAAGGATAGGTGTGAGCTTGCTGGTTGGGTCAGTGGAAAAATTCTCTGAAGAAGTCTGTTCTCAGTTTATTAAGCCATTTAAAACTTTGCTTAAATTCTGAGCATTTTTTATGATCTTATAGTTAGTTGAAAATATTTTAGCTATAATCTTGCGTTTGGCTAGCATTGCCAATGAGCTACCTCCAAACCATCTAATCTAATCAGTTGTATTTTCTTTCTTAGTGGAAATTGTGATAGCAGACTTCAGAAGTATATGATTGTGTGTGTAGAGGTCTGGAAAGGGATGGTGGCAGGGGAATGGAATTATTAAATATGCATCAGTCAATCTGTTGGCTTGGCTAATATTTTATAAAGCAAGGTTTTGTTAAGTACTAAAACTGTTATTTGAAAATGAAAAAATTAGTTTTCCTACTCAATTTCTTATACTTTTGTTAGAAATTTTTAATCTAAAATAATGCTTTATGAGAAAAATATTTGTTAAAACCTAAAGACATTAAATGGTTGAGACATGTTATTGAATTTCATTTAAATGTATGCAAATGTAATTAAATACAGAACCATGATTCCTCTTCTAGCATTTACCAGCCATTAATTATATCTGCTCTCCCACCAATTACCACTACAACACACACACATTCACTCACCAGTTGACTTCACATATCTTCAAATGGAGTTCAGAGTTTTCATTTTGTAACTGATGGCATTTTCTTTTTGACAGATTGTAACATTTTCTTCCTCTTGTCTTTTCTCCTTTTAAATGCTGCTAAAGTTAACTATGTCTTTAAAACAAAAACAGTTCCCCCGCACCCCCCCAAAACACACACACACATACACACACACACACACACACACATTGGGATTATAGACAGGTATTATTTTCATTATCTGTGAATGTAAATCAAATTAAGAACAAGAAAATTTTGTTTTTCTCTCTGGTTTATGTTCTTTCCTCATTTTCTTTCCCACATGCTACTCTACCAGACGATGGGTGCTACAGCAGCTACTTCAGGAAACCTCCTTGCCTTCCTTTGTGACCAAAGGAAACTTGGGAACAATTCCTGCAGAAAGGACACAGCGACTAATACGAGAAGAGATGGAAGTCTGTGGTGAAGCGGCAGGGAGATACCCAAGCAACTATAATGCCTGGTCCCATCGCATCTGGGTTTTACAACACCTGGCCAAACTAGATGTCAAGGTAGGCAGTTTTCACTTCTGGCAGATTTTAGGCCGATTTTAGAGGAGTGGCCCTTCCATCTCCCTAGCACTCTCCGTGCCTGCCCTTTGAAACTCCTGGTCGCAGTTCATCCTCAGGGGCTTTAAAGGAGGAAAGAAGAGGATCTAATGGCAGCCCAGCAGCCTAGAGAGGATCACGGCAGCTGATACCTCCAGGGCATCCTGGCAATTAAAACAAAGTTGTGTTCCTCACCAGCATATTGGGCACTGTTAAGGCTAGTGCATTGGCAGAACAAAGGCAGGTTTAAGCAGTAAGGAGGACTGAGCATAACTCATTTTGCCCTGAAACCGGAAGGGACTGTGGAGCATTGGAGAACTGAAATTGTTTTTTTCTTGATAGCCTCTGATTGTGTGACTTTCTGAGTTAGCTGGCTGCCTGCTCAGTCTCTCTTGGGAAGGAAGCAAGCTTTCACTCAGGTATTCCTCCACTTGGCCGAGTCTATAAAAATCCTGCGGATTCCTAGGTGCCACCCCAGGCCTACTGAATTGGAATGAGGGTAGGATTTAGGTCAGGATGCTTCACAAGCTCAGGGGTTATTTGGATGCAAAGCCAGGTTGGAAACTGTCACAGCCTAATCCTTTCAGTTTAGAAATAAAGAGATGGAAGTTACCAGAGAATTTTAATGGCCAAGACTTAGCCACAGCATTACTTATTATTCATCAGAGGGAGAACCAGGTATCCTTGTGCTCCTTGCATACTATAGTTATTCTAATTTCTTCTTCCCTTTTTATGATGTCAGTGTCATCAGCATTGAGGGTACTTGTCTAAAAGCTTCCCAGTCTTGAGACAATTTAAAGACGTTAAAATGCTTTCAGATTAATAGAGACACTGTTCTCTAATTTTTACTCACCACTGCCTTCTTTATACATCTTTCATAGGTTCCCTCTCCTCTCTGTTTTTAAGATAGAGATTCCTCCAAGAGAAACAAGAGAGTTTTCACTTCTGGCAGAGTTTAGGCCAACGATTTTAGAGGAGTAGCCCTTGCTCTCTAGGTGATATGGCTCTATGCTTCAGGAGGGGAGATGCCTAATGGAGAGGAAAGAGCTAAGACAGAATTACTTTGATCTGGGCTTAGAGTCTGGCCCTACTAGCAGTTTGTGGAAAGTAAGGCTTTAATGTTTTCATCTTAAAACGGGAGCTTTACTTTCTGCCTTGGTGGATTATTATGAAAATTACTTAAGTTAATGTGTGTAAAGTACTGGGCACCAAATAGTAGAGGCTCACTAAAATTTAGTTATTTTCTCTGTTCCCCACAGAAAGGAAATGTAGGTGAAACTGGCTACCAGATTGCTAGGTCAACTCACCGCAATTTGCTCATGAAATAGCACTGAAACCCAGTCATTCCCAGACACTGTCCGTACACTGTGGTATAAAGACAGAGCTTGCTCTCAACAACTTGAACATCTAGTTGAGGAAGCAGATACCAACAGTTACAAAGCAATGTTACATTTGGAGGAACCAGGGGAAGCTGCAGGTTCAGTGGGAGCACAGAAATTACTCCTCATCCAGGCTGGGCTCATGGGAGTCTGTAGGAATGATTGCAAGTTATCTGGTGGCTCGAGGGGGCTATTGCGTGCTTAGAGCCAGTCATTTTCGCTCCACAGCTTGGTAATGTGGAGGTTGAGGACAGTTAAGGAAAAAGAGGAAGGCCAAGTCCAGGTGAGCTGTGAAGTCTTCGGAAGCTTTCCTGCCTAGATATGATCCTTTTATGGTGACATTCTCACAAAATCAGGAACTTGGGGCCAAGGTGAAATTCTTGGTTACTTGAGACCATCTGGTGTTGAAGACGGTGTGTTGACTCAGCTGCTTGAGTCCACTGCTAGGCTCATAATCCTAGACTCACATGCTGTCAGCCAGCCTTGCCCTTGGGGAGACTGCTTTTCCTGTCATCACTGCCATTGTGGTGTCTCTTGCTCTCAGTAAAGAGTGCTGACATTGCACAATCCCCTTTCTGCTCTTATAAGCCATTGACCAAGGAGATCATCCTTTTTCTGTCAGAGAAAGTAATTATAAAAGTACCAGTAGCCTAGAGCAGCTTAAAAATACATATAAAATGAACTGGCCTTTTTTTTCATTTTAACTAGAAAATGCAAAGTGATTTCTTAAAGTGTTGATATCTTAGAATTGATGAGGTTATGGGAACAAGCATTGAAGAAATTGCTATAATCTTACTGAAGGTCAACATGACAGTATTTACCAGACTGTACCCTCTTATTCCCTGAAAAAAAGTATGTTATGTCTAATCCTGCAGTTCTGCCTCTAGGAATTCATGCTAAAGAAATAATGGGAGATGCAGCATGGTGTAGCAGCAAAAGGTTCCACTCAGTAGTCATGCAGACCTCATTTGAATACTGCCATCAATTTGCTGTGTGCCCTTGAGGGAGTGTCTTAGCCTCTCTAATCTTCCGTTTCCTCATCTATAAAATGGGAAAGATGAAAATTCCTACTACATCAAGTGATATAAATTAAATGGGAGAATCCACATAAAGTGGCTATCGCAAGTGCTTATACTAAGCACTCAACAAACATTGATTATATTAAGTATGGATATTTGATAGATGAAAGTACTGTTTATTATTGTGAAAAACTAGTCAAACCCACCAATAATGAAGGTTTAGTTACAGTCCAATCTATCACATGTTATAATATTTTGTTGATAGTAAAATTGTATTTTGGAAGATAAGAAAAATGTTCATTATAGTTTAAGGATATAAAACTAAATATGAGATGGGCGTAATATAATTTCTTTTTTTAAATATATTTTATTGATTTTTTACAGAGAGGAAGGGAGAGGGATAGAGAGTTAGAAACATCGATGAGAGAGAAACATCAATCAGCTGCCTCCTGCACACTCCCTACTGGGGATGTGCCCACAACCAACGTACATGCCCTTGACGGGAATCGAACCTGAGACCCTTCAGTCTGCAAGCCGACGCTCTATCCACTGAGCCAAACCGGTTAGGGCCCTAATATAATTTCT